TTCCTTCCTTCCTCTAGTTTAGATAAATAATTAAATTAAAAAAATAAAAAAAAAAGGAATTTTTTGGTTCACCACCCCCTCTAATTTTTTGAATAATCAAATAAAAAAAATTTTTCTCCTTATTCCCTTCGTTCTTCTTAATTTAAACATACCATTGAATAATCTAAACATACTTCATTCTTTTCCAGTTTTCCTGGTTTTCAGTGGTGTATTATGTCATCCAAATCATGGGTTCAACTATCAAATTAGAATAGCAGTGTGAAAAGTTTGGGAGTTTTCCAAATTCCAACTAGTTAACCTTAGTCAACATGAATGTTGTCTATTGAAACAATTTTGTATACTAATATTTTGAACATCATTGTTATCTATTACTTTTGACTCTAAAAGTATTGGCTAATGGATAATCTTCCCCAATTGCCTATTGTTGATTATTCAGACAAACAAGGAAGCTAAACATCGGATTAAGGTATGAATCCATATATATATATATATATATATGTGTGTGTGTATATAAATAATATTTTTCAAATTTCAACTACTTAACCAGTCAACAAGAATTAATGTTAGACCATTGTTAACAGTATAAATGGCCAAGTGGTGGTGGTAATCTACTCCTAATGGAGTAAAACATACTAGATTTGAGTTATAAGCATGCAGATGTAATGAGTAAATGGATAGGAGAGGTTGCTTTATAGTGCAACCTAAATAAAAAAAAAAATGTTAGGCAGCTTATTTACCTATTAGTAGAGGTCCTACCCGGCTACACAAGTGATTTTGTTCTAAATTTATAGTTTCTTATTTTGTCAATCTTTTATTCTCTAAAGAATTGAGTAATTGGGGCAATGACTAACAGCCCTTAAACATCGAAATTTTTTAAAATATATATAATATTTGTGTATATTAAAAAATGAAAAAATAATAATTAATTTGAGATAAATTTAAAGTCAAACAATCAATTATTTTGAGTTAAAGGAAGTATGGAAGATTATAAAGGTCCCATAGGTTTTTTAATTAAGATTTATTGAAAATTTTAAAAAATTCAATGTGTATTTATTTTAGATTTATTTAAGATTTTAAGAAGATTATTTATTCAAAATTTATTAAAAATTTTAATAACTTTTATACTAATATAATAAAATAAGATAAGATATCTGGAAATGTATCATACATGTCATCTGAATGCAGGCTTCAACTACCAAATTAGAATAGCATTGCTTTCTTTCTAGTGTGAAGAGTTTAGTAGTTTTCCAAATTCCAACTACTTAACCTCAGTCAACATAAATGTTGTTTATTAAATCAACTTTGTTACTTTGAACATCACTATTATTTATTACTTTGACTCTGTGGAAGTATTGGCTGTTGGATGATCCTCCCCAGTTGCCTATTGTTGATTATTCAAATTTTGGTTATTCAAACAAAGAAGGATGCTATCAAGCTGACTATTTAATTAATTAACGACTCCAAATATATTATTTTTTTTTCAAATTACAACTATTTAATAAACCTGAAATTTAGTTAGTTTTTAATAATTTAAATGATTCAATAATAGTTTTTACTTGTTTTAAAACAAAAAAATTTTAAAAAAAATTATAAGTATGTAAGTGTGATACGTAATGAATGAGAACAACTGACTTTCATAATCTAAAATAAAAATAAAAATAAAAAAGTTTGGCAGCTTATTTACATATTTTTTCAAAGAAAAAAGGGGAAGGAGGGTAGGAATATTCAAATCCCAAACCTCGAATTTTTTTGTAGTGCATAGATAAATCCCCTTATTTTGTCTTGTAAAAAATTCAACAAAATTTTCATACCACCAACCTCACTTTTGACACTTTCTGATTGAAAAGAGAACATAATTCAGACTTTGTCTGTTACCTTCACATTGTATCTAACGTGTCACTAAATTGGAAGTTTTATTTGTCTGTGACAGCAGCACTGTAACAATTTTTGAAATCTTCAACCTCTCTTGGTTAGATGTAAAACATCGAAAAACTACATAGGCGTAAGTTCTTGAATCGAGGACCCATCTTGCAAATTAATTATGATCTAAGTAATCTGTTAATTCACACAGCTTTCTCAAGTAACTCCAGCTCCGATTACATTACCAAGTAAAATTTTCCTTCTCTGAACTAAACGACACGGCACCCCCATAGAAAATTGCTAAAAAGCTTTAACAAACAACCAATTAATTTGGATATATAATTAAATATATGTACCACGAATAACGCTTTCACAGTTCGTAAGTGCTAAATGTTAGCCTCATCTGTTCATGGTATAATGTTTTGGTAATTCTCTTTTTAGAAGCAAGTAATTACTGGACTTCATCTTAAATCTTAATTAATGTTGTGATTATTTATAACTTTTGACTCTATGAAAGTATTGGCTGTTGGATGATCCTCCCCAGTTGCCTATCGTTGATTATTCAAATTTTGGTTATTCAAACAAAGAAGGATGCTGTCAAGTTGACTATTTAAGTAATGACTCCATACATACTATTTTTTTTTGTCAAATTACAACTACTTAGTAAACATGAAATTCAATTAGTTATTAACATTCTAAATGCTTCAATAATAATTTTTACTCTTAGTAGAATAAAAAATTTTAATTTGAGTTGTAAGTATATGTAAGTGTGATGTGCAATGAATGAGAAAGATTGACTTTTATAAAGTAATCTAAAATAAAAACAAAAAGTAAAAAAGTTAGGCAACTTATTTACCTATTTTTTCAAAGCAAAAAGGGGAAGGAGGATAGGAATATTCCACTCCCAATCCTAGACTTTTTTTTTGTAGTGCATAGATAAATCCCCCTTATTTTGTCTTGAAAAAAATTTAACAAAATTTTCATACCACCAACCTCACTTTTGACACTTTTTGATTGAAAAGAGAACATAATTCAGACTTTT